TATTTTGGGCCGCATTCATAGCCCTCCTGGGCCACATGCGGCCTGTGGGCCGTGGGTTGGACACCCCTGGTAGCTGTGTGGTTCAGGTTTCTTTGTGCTTAATGTGCTCAGCTATGAAAAAAAAAATTATATGCCCTACTGAAGAGTTGTGTCAAATGAATTTCTAGTTTTAAAGACTATGGTAGGCACTTGTATCTGCTCAATAGATTTTAGTCGATGTTCTCTTTCTCTTTTTTAACATTGTTGTTTTGTTTGGACAAAAAGTTTAGAAATCTCTAAGCATTTTAAAATACAGTAAAGCCCATCCTTGGAAAACTGTCTTTTCTGTTTATTAAAACTCAGTGAGGGGTAGAATGAACTTTGCCTAGGGGCAGGAAGTCTGGAATGAGCTTAGTGACAATTATCAAATGTTACCACTTCAAGTCATTACCAGGAAAATCTGCCCAAATTAGTAATGAGTGTTACCTGAAAAATATTTCAAAGCTTTTTAAAAATTATATTAAAAATCATCAAAATTAGCTAAACATAGCATTACCTAGTAGGATTCTTTTGGGGGGAGGATTTTTTTAAAAGAAAAAGACAAAACATATTTTGTAATATTTGTGTCTGTAACATATGCAAAAGAGACTTCCAGATCTCTGGAAGAGGAGTCTTAAGCATTCTTAGACGGCTTTGTGAATCCTGCTAGTAAGCTCTGGAGGGCTACCTCTCTTTCCGAATTACCACATAAACAAAGCAAAGCAGGGATGCCCCTATTCACATCCCATATTCTAATGTTATGGAATGTAAACCAATTAGCTTCAGCCTTGAAGGGTTCTACATTTGTGAAAAACAAAAAGAGAGAGAAGATGTGATAACACAATTGGTCCCTGAACAAAGCAACTAGCTGCTGTGGTTATGCCAATAATCATGCCACTGTATTTGATCCTTAAAAAGTGCCATATAGTTTGTTAATGAGAGAGAGAAAGAGAGAGAGAGAGAGAGAATATGCATGAGTGGATGGGAATGAGTGGGACCCAAAGAGGACAGTTAACTTGCCCAAGTTCACCTACAAAAATTACCTGCAGATCTGAGGTAAAAATTAAGTCTGATCACTTCTAGTCTCTTCTAGCCCATTCTACCAAACTGTACCACAGGCAATGTTTGATGGAGGTTATACTTGCAAAATTTGTTTATGATTAAGAATACATTTTGCAAAGATTAAAAGGAAAACACATTTTGAAAGGTCACTGCTTCCTGTGAGCAGATCATAAGTGCATAACACTACTCAGTGCTACAGGCCTTCATTGTATGTATGTAATGTGTTTATACAGGAAAAACGAAAAGGGAAAACACTTTGAATTACAATTTGGATGCAAGAAACACATCCCCCTGCCCTATATTTGGTTGCTTCTGATCAAAACTGGCATTTAAATCTGGTTCCCTAAAAAACACAGTTCAGCCTTAACGATGCTTTCCTAATATGCAGCCCTAGAAGCCAGCAGAGAATCCCTCAGAATTACACTGAACGGGCAGGGACGAGAGTGGGAGGCAGGAGGGCACTGGGGGCGGGGTGCTGACTGCGGTCTGCCAGGAGTGCAGGTCGTAAGGGTGCACATTAGAGAGAATTAGAAAACAGTAATTAAATGGGTAAAAAAGGTACTATGCTGTCCCTAGCACCATGAACTGGCAACTCCAGCTAATGTCAGTGGTGGGGAGGTTAGGGGGTGGAGGGATCGAGCAAAAAAGAAATAGGACTCGTGGCCACAGTGAGGTGATTGTGAGGGAGGGAGTGGGTGGAGGTGGGTATGAGATGGATAAAAATGGTAATGGGAAAAGTACAATAAATGAAAAAAAATTTAAAAAGAACCCTTCGAAACGGAATGACAAAGCTGAAATGTCTGCATCACTTTTCTTCAACAATTAAAAATTATTATCTTTAAAAAAACCAATGTCAGTGAGAAAAGAACAATTTCCTAAAAATATTTTGTTGGTCTATAATCAGAATAATTGATGTGGTTGGTGTTAAGATTTCATATAGATTCAATTTGCACATTTTATTACTTTTTCTACAACAAACATCATATGATACATGGAAATTAATTGAAAGAACTCTCCATTATATAGTCAGCCTCAGACACCCAGGAATTCATCTGGAAGCTTTTGTTTCATCAGTAAGTTATAACAGTTTGAAACCTTTTGAGCTCATGAAGGCTGCAGTTCATTCAAACCCTGTGGCACTATATGTTTTTATGAAAAGAACAGATTATAAATAAACAAGGATAGCACAGTGATTGTGAAGGTGAAAAAAACAATATTTGAATTAATTTAATTCTGTCATTCTATGTGACCAGCTGAAGTGGTTGCATTTAGAACAGCCGTGCAGTGTGCGGGTGTTGGCTGGTGAGTTCCAGGTGCCCACGTGGGTAGCTGCCTAGGTGATGCACCCTGCACCGGCCACCTTCCCTTCCCTGGTTCCTTTTCCCATGCCCCTCACCCCCCTGAAAACTATCTGCCCTCAAATCCTTGTCTCCGAGTCTGCTTCTGAGGGACTCCACACTGAAACACACCGCAATAATCCTGTAGTATATCCTGCAACTCCTCCTCCCACTCCTGACAGGAGAGGGCACACATAGAGCCTCTCTTCTTTCCACGCACCCAGTGGGTTTCCCCATATCAAACCCTATGGGAAGATGCAGGGCTCCAGGGTGCAGATGGCCCTTGTCTGGGGCCAGTCACCTTCATCTTCATTCAGAGGAAGTCCCAGACCCAACGAGCCTCCCAATCCTCTCGCAGGCACAAATAACAAGAGCTGATCCTGGGGCTCAAAAATGGTCCCCAAACAGGGTCGAAAAGCATCTCAAGGTATGTCCCTTCTTCTTCGTTTGCCCCTCCAGTCCTGGCACAGTCAGCTCATCCAAGCCTAGGGTGAGGCCTAACAGGTGCATTAGGCCTGGACCCTGGGAGGAGATCCCTGGTGTAGAAAGGGAAATACAGGGGCCCTGGAGGGAAGGGGCGTGGCTGTAGTGCCCTGACTGGGCTGCAGGTTTGCAGGGGACATCCCAATAAAGGGATTCAGGCAAGGGTGACAACCCACCTTGCATTTTCAGGTGGTATGGTTTTAGTACTTCTCAGCTTTGGCTGCAAAACATTTTACATTTTTTTCTTTTCCCAAGCATTATACCTTATAGGCCCCAGATACATAATAAATCAGAATTCCTGGATATAGAAAATATATTTTAAATATAAATGAGGGAGTATGTTTTAAAAGCTCCATGAATAATTCTGACACACGGAGCAGAGATGAGGACCATAGCAATGTAATGTGAAAAATGCTGACCTTATGTGATATAATCTTTTAAGTAATTCCTTTTCACTTCTTAATCAGATGTTTCTGATAAGAATTCAGAAAGGAAAGCCAAATTCTTGACAAATTAACTCCAGCCTCAAAGAATCTGGTTTGTGCACCTTCCCCTCATGAATGTTTCTTTGTTACTATGCAAAATAATCAAGAATTCTTGGAAAGTCCATGGTCTTCCAATGATGTTTATGCTCTCCCAATTATCTTGCACCAGGAAGAATGTATTTGTACCAGTAAACACGAAACCAATCTGTATGGTATAGAGTCTGACTTGGGGACAGACGCTTTTCTGGGTTGCTCAGCCCTTAGGCTCATGGACTCCCCCTGACTACAGCTAATGTTGGAAGCAGGAGAAAGGGGTGTGCTGGAGGAATTGCTCTTCATCTGCAACTACTCCCTTAGAGTCTTGAAGTCAGTACTTGAACATTACCAGTGCAGCACCATGACTGGTCAATGACAGAGCTGCAATATTAACTCAGGGTACAACTCACACATGATTCTTTTTCTACTACAATTGCTGACAGAGTTCTGGCAATGAACCCAGTCTTTCAGAGAAAAGTTGATCTTGGACCAAAGGGCTGGCTAAAATCTCAGGCAGGGCATAACTAACTAACTAACTAAGCAAACACTATTATCTATGTATTTTTAGATAGATATACCCGATATATACAGATCTAAATAAATAAGCATAGATATATAATATCTTGATATGGTTATAGAACAGATAGATGAAATCAAAATATATTAAGAAAGCATTTCATCCTGACATATTTTCGGTTATGATATATCAGAGGTTAGAGTTTATGTTCACAAGACGTGGATTTAAATCATCAGTCAGTCACTTAATTTGTCGTGTACCTCCTCTGAGCCTCAAAGAAGATGATGAGTATCTTTGGGTTGTCAGAAAGAGTAAATAAACTATTATATGTACAGGTCATGCCTCAATGACTGCCCAGAACAGACCCTTTCTTAAGTTTAATTGCCCAGATCATAAAAATTTAGCCCAAACAACATTATTTGCTATGAAACTTAAAAACCAAAAGTACATGGAGTTTAGGCAACGAAATTTTGCAATTCTGTTGTTGGCACAACTTTAGAAATTTCATTTAGAAGCAAATGCCTGGAAGTACTTAACAACCTAGAAGTCAAGTGAATACAAAGCTTCTATTTTAGAATTATTTTTTACTTTATCCCCTAGCAAGGGTGTCCAACCTTTTGGTGTCTCTGGGCCACAGTGGAAGAAGAAGAATTGTCTTGGGCCACAAATTAAATATACAAACACTAATGAAACTGAAGAGCAAAAAGAGGATTTTAAGTAAATTTACAATTTCGTGTTGGGCCGCATTCGTAGCCATCCTGGGCACCATGCGGCTTATGGGCCAGGGGTTGGACACCCTGCTCATATTTAATAACACACACACCTACGACATCCACACAAACACATGTACAGCATGTCTCAGGAGCCCTGGAAACCCTCCCTTGACCCCACGTCAATGACCCTTCTTTGTGTGTCATTTTTATTTTTTCGTGGCTAATGAATTGCACATAATAATTGCCAGTCTTCTGGCACCTCTTCGTCCCCTGCTGCAAAAGATCTAATCTATTCAGAGGAAGATAACTGTGGAGCTGTTGAGACAGAAAAGAAATTGCTGCATCTCACCACTGTTGTGCGCCTCCAGCTGTGAGGCGGAGTTGACAGCGACCTTGCATAGGGAACAGTAGAGAAGCCTTTTTGCCTTTTCTTCCTCCGTCTCCGTGGAAGGACACGAGCTATTGCCAGTGGCCGTCGTGGGGCTCTTCTCCACGTTAGAGGTGATCTCAGTTGTTGTAACACTGCTTTTTCGAATTTCCACAGTTGTTGTTGTTGATATTGCTGGTGTCCCTGCGGTACTGTCTGCATTCAAAATAGCATAGGGGGGAAAAAAAGAGAGGGAAAACAGTGGTGTTATCTTTCCCTATTTGGAAACATATCACTAACTTTAGATTCTGTTAATAATGATAAGAGCAGCTACCAATTGCTGCCTGTCAACTGTGAGTCGGCCGTGTCCTGAGGAAACTGACACAGGTGACCACAGGCACCTTCGTATATTGGTAGAAAACATTCAGATGATTCTTGAAAATACACAAACACACTTCATTTTGTTCTATGGAGTAAATAAATATTTCCACAATTTTCTGTCCCTTAGTAAAATAATGTTTACAATGTATTGTACTTTGTATAAATATGGCCTTTAAAATAAACAGGATACTTTTAAAGTATTTTTATTTTTATTTACTACTTGTTATATTTTCCTACTTCTTTCTTTAATTAAAAAATATGTATGGATCCTTTTGTATATGCTTGTACAAAAAAAAAAAAAAGAAAGAAAGAAAAGAAAAAGGGAACCTTGATGATGACTGCTTTGTCCAGATCAATAGTTTAGAAAATCATAGTGTGTGTATTTAACACCAAGTACAAACATCATCAGTATACAAATAAGAGGGATTCTAGTATGATGTATTTATTAAATGCATGCTCTGTTCCAGGCTGTGTTTTGGGAGTTTGTGATATAGTATTCAAACATTAGGCCACTGTTTACGAAAAATTCAGACTGGTCACACCATGTTAATGTCAAAGAATTTTAAGAGTTTCACACCTGAAGTGTTGATACATTGTAACCCTACAACTCTAACTTAGTAGTCTGATTCTAAATCCCCAGAGGTCAACCTGATTAAGTCACAGGCGGCAAACACAAGGCTCGTGGGCTGACCTTCACCTGGCTTTGTCTGGCCTGACACCTTGTGTTCTTGCTTAACTGTTAAGGAGTAGTTACATTTACACAGTCCTAAGATCACATTCAGCCCTTTGAAGGCAACCTTGAGGTTGATGTGGCCCTCGGTGAAAATGAGTTTGACACCCCTGTTCTAAGTGAAACTACCTTGTCCTAACTTCCATTGAGTGTACACAGCTCTCATTCCAAATATGCCAGTTACCATCGTTGTTAGCAATGTCTGCACATCCAACAACAAACTGTGAGTGAGCTCCATACTCACATCCTTTCTGCTCTTTTATAGCTTACTCTGCCTCCCCACTGGCTGGATCCTAAACTCCTATTCAAAATATTCCCATTTTCCCAGGCTGTCTCTCCTTCTAAGCTGTTCTTGCAATTGTTTCTCATTCCATATGCTCCTGTGGTCACTACCTAATGCCACACTGAAAAGTCCATGATAAATGGATTGGGCGGTGGCTATCAAGAGCAGTGGTCGGCCTGCAATGAAGTGCTGCCCTCGTAAATGCTTCTTGTTGTGGTTGGGAACCGCCCTGCCTGGTATCAGAAGCTGTAACCCCCGCCTAGGCTAAGGCTAAGGGAACGCCCTTGGAACCGTAAACCAGCAAGGAGACAAAAGCTTATCTCCCTGGCAGGAGCGCTGCTTCTGCTGCTTCATTCATAACTGAACCCCAAAGCTTGGTCGGTTAGCCAAGGATGGGTAAGATTCCCCAAGGGGGGAACGACCTAAGACAGGCACAATCACCTGGGAGGCCCCCAAAAGAAGGACTTTGGGGGCTACAGCAAAAGGGGGTGATGGACCCTCACTCCTTGGCTTTGACATAGCCTGAGTCCTCATTGTCTGGGAGAAAATCTCCTTATCTCTTGGTTGCCTTACTTCCCTTGCTCCACCTAAGCCTGAAACAATGACAGGGTGGTGCAGCTCTATGCTGAAAAGGGCGGATTCCCTGGTGATCAAGCCTAAGAAAGAACATTAAATTACTGTGAAACCTTCTTTGTTTAGAATGCTCTCAGTTGAATGAGAAGGGTCCAAGGAGGAAGTTAGTTTGTTCCTTAAAGTCTTACGGCTCTTTGACCCTGACTCAAAATAGGCCCTCAGACTTCCTTGTTATCTATTGTTTGATCCTTACTTCCTAGCAGTGAGTAATGAGATTTTACCTGAATTCTTATGCAAACAAAACCAATAAAAAGCCTCTCCGGAGGGGGAATGGTGTGCTCTCCCCACCAGGGAGGGTGGCCATGGCGCCCTCCAGGGGAGAGGGTGGCCAAGCGCTCCCCACGTGAGGAGTGGCCCTGCTGTTCCTATTCCCCCACAGGACCTGGTTGTCTCTGTGTATGTTTTTTCTCGCATTTTTCGACAAGCCATCCACAGTGTTCCGTGATCACTGCTGGCCGGTGACCCACTCATCAGCTTTTTAGCTCATACGATTAAGAGTTGATCACAGTTACAGGATGCATTTTACCTTGGATACCCCTTTGAAACAGATACAAAGGTGGAAATATAGCTGAGATTAATTATAGCTTCTTTCCCAAATATGTGGTCAGAAACACTATTCACTAAGAAGATAAATGAGGTCTTATTGAGGGCTGTTGTATAAAACAATTAATCTGGATCTTATTTCCTTTGCCCGACACTCCACATACTTTTAACCACTTATTTTAGCTGCTAAGATCATCAAGTAAGCATCCTTCAGTGTCATGGAGATTATCCTCCACCCATGTTTTAAAAAATCAGCCTCTCATGGCCAGAGGAAAGTAAATGAAATTACTATTACCCCAATTTTGCCACCAGAGTTCATGTATTCCTTTGAACATGGAGAGGCGCATTTCCTGATTCATTTTTACTTGCCCTATAAGGTACCTGCTTAAAACTACAACATCAGGTACCAGCCAGAAAAGAATTCTGAGAACCTACATATTGCATAAAATACAATGACTACTTTAAGATAGCTGAGTAGCTTTTCATTCCTTCCAATAAACCAGAAATGATGGTTTGAAAACATATGTCCATGTCTGTAAATAAATAACAAATGGCCAGTTAATTTGCTGTTTTATACACATAATTTCATTTAATCTTCAAAGAAACATGTACAAATATGGAACTGCTGGAAGTTACGGAAATCTCCCAAGGTCACACAGCACTATGTAGTGAATGAGAGCAAAGCATTTCAAGAAACAAAGAAATCAGAGATTTAAAAAAAAAAATTGTGAAAGATATTCTTGGCCATGATAGTGATTCTCCTAGTAAGGTGACAAACACCAATTTTTTTTCTCATGATCAGCTGTACAGTGAGTGATACCAGTAAATAGACAGATGTTTAAAGTTACAGTGGCTGCACGTTGGAGCCAGAGAGCAATACTATTTTTATTTATTTCATTTAAATCTAAATCAAGCTATTCCTAGTAATGGCCTACTTCCAACAAATTTTTCTCTGGGTTGACCATGTTTATTTTATGTCTTGATCTGAAAATTGGACATAGCATAGATCACAGCAACCCTAAGCCAACTTCCCGATTTACAGTGAAGTTCATAATAAAAGTATAGAATAAACAAAACCAATGGATCTTTCAGTCCCTGCGACAGCTACATTAGTGTCTTTCCTAAGCCCAGAGGATAATGTACATTTATACCGAAGACATCATAAGATCCAGATGCCAGATTCTCGATGTCTAGGACGTAGTGAAGCACTGCTGTTTCTTAAGGCAAGTCTATTGCATGAGACAGGCTTAGGGGAACTGGTGTATCAACACATTTAATTTCTGGCACTTCTACGTTGTCTCCTTTATAACACATAGCTGTGCACAGATCGGTTATTGTCAGTAAGTTTGAAAGAAATACAAAGCTGTATTTTTCATTTTAAGTTTAATAGGTAGATCTATAAAGGTAGGACTACTATTAATTTATAACAAGGCAGATTTTCTACTTTTCATTTATAAGTGATGAAGGGGGCCTTTTTAACCAGAAATTAAGGTAAATATATTTTAACATTATGCTGAATTCAAAGAGAACCAACTATTTAAAAATTGAATTAAAAATTACATATAGCAAGGAGACATGGTATGTAAAATGAACAATTATACACAAGTTTTATCCATTCATTAAATAGAATCTTAAATCAGTAATCATGTTAAAAGCATCTACTCTTAATATGATGGGATGAGAATTATGCCTGTGAACTTCCTCCCCAAAACTCATTACTCCTGTCTCGCCATGAGAAAAGCATAAAACAAGCCCAAGTGTAAGGACATTCTACAAAATTCCTGACTAATTGTCCTGAAAAAATGGCTAGGTCATCACAGCAAGGAAGACTGAGAAACTGCACCAGTCCAGAAGAGTTTCGGGAGACACAATGACTCAAAATAATATGGTATCCTGACTGCAACCCTGAGGCAAAAAAAAAAAAAAGAGAGAGAGAGAGAAAATACCCAAAAGCACATTGCATGAAAAGTTAAGAAATCTGAATAAAGTATAAATTGCAGTTAATAACAATATATCAATATTGGTTCATTAGTTTTGAGAAATTCACCATGGTAATGTGACATATTAACAATAAAGGAACCTGGGTGCAGGGTATACTGGACCCCTCTGTAATATTCTTGCATCTTTTTCTATGAATCTGAAACTATTCAAAGTTTATTAAATTTAAGAAAACAGAACTATAAGCAGTCAACAGAGTATCACTGTTACTTTGCAGAATCACAGTCACAAGGGATCTTAGATCAAAGTGAGAAGCTACATTATAGCTTTCCTGGTTTTTGGATTAGAACATTTTAGTAAGTTTCTCAAGGTCACATCGTGCTCAGGGGGAGGCACGGGGACTTGACGCTGCATCTCTCCATCCCAAATCCAGTGCTTGTTACCCTACACTGGAACGACTGACGTATTCAAGCTTCACTCCATCGACATTTATTCAACAGCTATCTTGTGCTTGGTTTTATATTAAGTCACTAAGAATGAGAAGGCCAAAAAATACCTATCCTGTACTAAAGGGGTTTATGAGGCATTTCATCATGTCTTTAAATGTTAACAATATAAAACTAATCCTTAATCAGCATACAAAGAACTCAATAAACATTTATTGAAAGAAAACAATGAATGACCGAATAAACAACAGTTACAGAGAAT